AGTACCCCTTGCGGTTTATGTACTCGCTGGCTTGGTGCTCCGGTGCCAAGATAGGGATATGGGTTCCATCTGTTGCCCCACCACAGTTAGGGAATCCCATTGCAGCAAAGCCATCCACTATGACCTGCACGTTTCCCAGAGTCATTACCGTTGATACCAGCAGCTCTTTGATTGCGTTGGCTACTTGAATCACAGCAGCCCCCACAGTAGATTTACTCACTCCAAATAGATTCCCGACTGACCGGTAGCTGGCGTTGCAAGCTTCCACAGGGCTATTGCCACTCGCTTCTCAACTGTGAGGGCTGCTCTCATCTTGGTATTCTGGCACTTCAGGGCTGGGGAAAGCAACTCACAAAGTTCCATGAAAGTGCCCTTACACATGCGAAAGTTTCGCAGCCACTGGGAATCGTCCCACACCTGCAACACTATGCGGTCCCACCAGTCTGTGCTTGTTTCTCGGGTCCAGAATCAGCGTTCCACGGCATGAACCTGCCCCATTAATACCATGATTTGCACATTGCTGGGGCCCATACTTTGTGAGAGGTCTATGTCCATGTCTATTTCCTCATCACTCTCGTCGCTGCGCTGCTGTTGCCTCCTCACCTGGTTTTGCCTTGGCAGGTTCTGGTCCTGCATATACTCCAGGATAATGCGCATGGTGTTTAAAATGCTCATAATTGCTGTGATGATCTGAGCGGGTTCCATGATCCCAGTGCTGTGGTGTCTGGGCTGAAAAAAGGCGCAAAACTATTGTCTGCCATTGCTTTCATGGCAGGGAGGAGGGAGGGTGGGGCCTGACGACATGTACCCAGAGTCACCCGTGACACTGTTTTTGCCCCATCAGGCATTGGGATCTCAACCCAGAATTCCAATGGGTGGCAGAGACTGCGGGAACTGTGGGATAGCTACCACAGTGCAACGCTCTGGAAGTTGACGTTAGCCTCGGTACTGTGGACACAGTCCGCCGACTTAATGCACTTAGAGCGTTTTGTGTGGGGAGACACACAATCGACCTTATAAAAACGATTTCTAAACAACTGACTTCTATAAATTTGACCTAATTTTGTAGTGTAGACATACCCTAAGATGTATAGGATTCTGATTGAAAAAAGATGTCGATAAGAAAACCCAGATGAAAAAAGAGGAGAGGGATTTGAACAAAGAAGTTGATCTGGATGAGTGGGTTTCTATATGAGAAAGGGGATATTCATCTTCAGTCTGTGTAGCTCATAAAAACAATTGTTATAAGTTATTGTATAGATGGTATTTGACTCCAGTTAACTTCCATCATATTTTTGCTACTAGGGAAGCACTCCATTGGAAGGGTTGCAGGGAAAGGAGAACGTATTTTCATGTATGGTTATGTCCAGGAATTAGACGATTTTGGGAGGAAATTATTAAAGAGATTCATCTTATAATAAAATGCCAGCTTCCCACAGATCTCCTAAACTGCTCACTTAATGCTCCAGTGAAGGATCTAGATTTTAAACAGAACAACAAACTAATTTATTTTTTATTGTTGTGCGTTATTGGAAAAATCTGTCTTTTCCTCCTATGGAATTGTGGTATAGTCAAATATGGACTGTCCTTGTAAAGTAAAATCTTTCACACCAAGTATGTACACAAGAGAAGTGCCAAAAAGAGGATAGGTATTTAGAAATTTGGTCACCCAACAAAAAACAAATTAGGTTACATTTTATTCCAACTTTGCCTTAAGAAAAAATTTTAATCTCCCATTCCCAATTATAATAATAATAATAATTAATAAATAAAAATCCATTAGTACAGAATCAGGGATCTAGATGTTGGAAGAAAAAATATGGGCTTTCGTTACCTCAGATGCAAGCTAGATGGTGCTAAAGCATACTAATATGATGATCAACTAATGGCTGTTTGAAATTACCACCTTGATGGTCAGAAGGACCTGTAATACAGGAGACTCTGGAGTTAGGATTTGTTTTTTAGTTTTTTGTTTGGCTTTGTATATAACTTTTGACCTGAATGAATAACAGACATTCTGGTTCCCTAATCCTGTTAAAAGACCCTGTCAGGTAAATTTTTCAGTAAATAAATATGTTGAGACTCTCATTTATAGCAGATTTACAGAGATGCTCCTGCTCCAACATGATTCTCAATAAGGTACGTTTATTTTTTCATTTATAATAAAATACAAACATTTTTCAAAGTTGTTTCTTCGGTATCTAACTGCCCTACTATAACGTAGGAAAACAAAGTTGCATAGTGGTGATGTCTGGGACTAGTTAGTAGCCATTGCAGAAGTCCGCAGGATAAGAAGATAGGGAGAGGAGGGATGGGAACCTGGACTTCATAGGCAAGGGCAGCACCTCCTTTAGCCAACAAATAAAGGGGTATTCACTTTACTCAGCTTCTGTGTAGGTTTAAAGGGGGTGATTTTAAAAACTTTTAAGTGACTGCAGAGTACAAGTCCCATTTAAAGGCTATGGGACTTCTACTTCAAAATCTCTTTTTAAAAACTTCCCCAGAGAATAGTTGGTTATATTTTTAGCCCAGTACTTCCACACTATGTAGTTCTAATAAAATGTTAATCTTTGGTTGTAAATTCTCTCAACAAACATTTTAAGTCCAAACTAATAACACAAGACAGTCACATATCTTTTGGTGTTTTTTTTTCTCCATTTTGGGAGGTGCCTTTTTAGAGGTGCTAGATTCAAACAGTTAAACTTTTGTTTTAAACCAATTCTGGGGGGCTGCATCACACGGCAGAATTATTTTCAAACAAGAATCTTTCTTTGCATGCTCCAGGCTTCAATATATTTAAAGTATGGTTTTACTTATTTAATATCCCTTGAAATAACCAGTGATTAAAGGGAAAAAGCATTTTGTAAAACTCCAGAGTTTAGGAAATCCCTGTATTTAATTGTTTAAAAAGTTTTCACAGAACTCAAAATTCCATCTGATTCTCCCACCCTTAGGAAAGAGCTAACCCTGTGTTACACTCTAAACTTTATCCCTGTAAACAGTCCCATTGAGCATGAGCACCAGGTTTGTATAATTTTTGGTGGTGCCCAGAACGGGTCCAAGCAGAGCTGTTCTGTCCATAGGACGGACCAGGGCAACTGCCCTTGGGCCACGCGCTTCAGGGGGTCGCAGAGTCCAGGGGGACCTGGGAGGTTAGCAGGGGGCCTGACGCCAGCAAGAGCGAGCAACCTGGCCCCAGCCCGCTCCACCCCGCTGGCTCCTGAAGTCGGTCTGGGGGGGGGGCGGAAG